TGACTAATAGCAATTTAATTTTAAAAGTATAGCTGAGAAGCCAGGCCTGGTGGCCATACCTGTAATCCCAGAATTCCAGAGTCTAAACCAGGAGGATCACTGTCAGTTTGAGGCCAACCTAGGCTACACAGTGAGTTTAAGGCCAGTTTCAACTACATATGAAATCTTGTCTCAAAGAAACAAAAAGCTGGGCCAAGGATATAGCTTGGTGGCACAGTGCCTGCCTGGCAAGGGCAAGGTCCTGAGCTAGATTCCCAGTACAAAAAAAAAAAAGAAGAAATTTAAAGAAACAAAAAGAAAAAAAGGTATAGTTGGATACAGCGGGACATGCTTGTAATCCTAGCTAATCAGGAAGCTGAGGCAGGAAGATCACAAGTTTGAGGCCAGTCTATGCAGCTTAGCAAGATAGGGGGGCTGGGGATTTAGCGGCAAAAGCGCCTGCCTGGCAAGTGCTAGGTCGTGAGTTCGGTTCCCGGTACTGGAGAAAAACCAAAACCAAAAAAAACCAAAAAACCAAAAAAACAAAACAACTTAGCAAGATAAAAAAAAAAGCTGGGGATACAGCTTGATGGCAGAACATATGCCTAGTGTATACAAAGCTCTGGGTTTAATGTCTAGTTCTGCAAAATATAAAAAGAGTAAACATTTGCTCTGACATATCCCATGCTTCCTCCTTTATACTGTTGTCACAGATCACATCATTGCACATTGTGTGTCCATTAACATAGGTTTATGGGCTTTAAATGTATTGGCCTACTGCATCATATAGGAAAAAGAGAAGCTACCAACCACTCCTAAAGTGTGTAATATTTGCTTTTTAATTTACCTGTGTAGTTTCTAGTAGTTTCTTTATTATTATTATTATTTTGGTATGGGGAATCAAACTCAGGACCTTGTGCTTGCCAGGCTGACACTGTGCCACTGAGCTGTATCCCTGGCTGTATTATTTCTTAGGACTTTGAGTTACTGTCTAATGTCCTTTCATGTCAGCCTAAGAGACTTCCTTCAGTTTTTCATGTAGATCAGATATGTGGTAATGAATTCTGCCAGATTTCTTTTTTCTTCTGTCTTTTTAAGAAAGGGTCTTGGGACTGGGGATTTAGCTCAGCGGCACAGCGCTTGCCTGGCAAGCGCAAGGTTGTGAGTTCAATTCCCGGTACTAGAAAACACCCCAAAAGATAGGGTTTTGCTGTGCAGTTCAGGCTGGCCTTGAGCTCACTATGTAGCCCAGGCTGGTCTTGAACTTGCAACGATCCTTCTGCCTCAGCATCCTGAGTGCTGGGATTATAGGCGTGTGCCACCACTCCCAGCTCCATAGCTTCTGAGAAGAAATATGCTGTTAATCTTATTGAGGACCCTTTATGCATAATGTTGTTTTTTTTTTTTAATTTTTTAGGTACCAGGAATTGAACTCATGACCACACTTGCCAGGCAGGTGCTGTGCCACTGAGCTATATCCCTGGCCCCCTTTATGCATAATGTATTGTTTCCCCATTAGTGCTTTCAGAACTTTCTCTTGGTCTTGAGTTTCAACACTTTGACTATACATATCTCTGGATTTCACTGAGCTGATTTTCTTGGATGTGTATTTTTATGTCTTCCCACAGGTTTCAGAAATACGGGGTTCTTACTTCTTCAAACATCTTGTCTCACCACCCCCTTCTTCCTTTTTTTCTCATCACTGAAGCCTACTTTATTCTAGAAGAAATCAACATAGGACAAGTGTAACCTAGTTTTTTAAAATTTATTTTTATTGGCGTATGTTACAATCACTTTGGGAACTGATACATATACACATCATCACATCGTCATCATTTTTACTTCCCTTTCCTCTTCCTATCCTCCCCTTGCCCCTTCTCAGATTTGCCCAAGTGGGTCCCCTGACCGTGTGCTATTCTCAGTACTGCTCCAAAGGTTGTTCTGTGCCCCAGGGCAAGTCCAACTCCCAGACAAGACCCTTCTGACCCCTACCACCTGCTGATTTGTGCTGGGTGGCCATTGTGGGTGAGCTCCCCAGCCTGTCTTCCAGGAGTGCCCTTTCTTTGGGACTGTCTGGTGCCTGCCCAGTTGAGCCCTTGTAGGCTGTCATTATCTTTCAGAGTAGGATGGTCACACTAGTGCTTGAGGAGGAGCTGGTATGTTTCATTTGTTTTGCGATTGGCATCTGAGCCTTTTCTGAGCTTCCAACAGTGGTCTTTTTCTTTTTCTTTCTTTTTTTTTTTTTTTTTTCAGTACCAGGAACCAAACTCACGACCTTCTGCTTGCCAGGCAGGTGCTGTGCCACTGAGCTAAATCCCCAGCCCCTCGTGGTCTTTTTCTTGATCTGGAATTGCTTGCTCATGTCCTGTGGTCACTGATGTGTAAGAAGATCTTTATGCCAAAGTTACTGATCTGGGCTGGGCGTGGTGGTGGACACCCGTAAACCCAGCACTCTGAAGGCTGAGACAGGAGAATTGCTTCAAGTTTGAGGCCAGCCTGGGCTGGAAAGTGAGTTTAAGGCCAGCCCACACTGCACAGTGAAACCCAATCTCAAAAAGACAAACAGAGGTACTGACTGATCTTTCTTCACCCCAAATACTTGTTGCAGCCATTGCTTTGAAATTCACTTTTATTTTTATTTTATTTTATTTTTTTGGTACTGGGGATCAAACTCAGGACCTTGCGCTTGCCAGGCAGGCACTTGTGCCACTGAGCTACATCCCCTGCCCAGCCATTGCTTTTTATTGGAAAATGTCAGATTATTATAAAGTACCCAAAAATAAATTTAAAAAATAAATTCCAGATAGACTAAAATATTTCCCAAAGTAAGAAATTTGAAGAATACTGTGTATCAAATTCTTGATATCCATTTGAAGAAATAACACAGAGATTCAAATACATAAAATGTAAAGATTTCTGAGTAAAAGCAAATTATCCAAAATAAGATTGGATGATTTTGACAGAACTGGGAGGTCATGGCTGAGAAGGCCACGATTAGCAGGTAGAGGGGCCCAAAGCTCATTCTGGCCTCCAGTATCACATACCCCTCCTGCATTCCAGCTGGCCATGTGCTTCCGTCAGCTGCCAGGAGAGGAGGAAGCAAGTGGCGAGAATATGGAGCTGGAATCCTGTCCAGGAGAGGGGCATCGATGCCCACTTTCCGCCTCTAGATGACAGCCTGCGGGCTCACCACTGGGTCAAATGCAGTCTGACACAGTAAGAACAAGCAGGAAGATACTAAGCACACTTTGTCTAAGAAGGCAGGAAGTCCAACTGTACATTTGGGAGAGCTCCCTGAAAACCTAAGCTGTTGGAAAATTTAGCAGTCCAACACACTTGTACTATGTGATTTAAATTATCTTATGATAAAGTTAAATTTAATTAAACTTATTGTTGCCTTGATTGGAACATGACTTTATTAATCTTTCTACATGAAATTGTGTTCTGAATAGCACTGGGGTCTGAGTCATAGCCAGAGACGGATGGGGACTATGAACTCGATCAGAGAGGGCTGGCAGCTGTGCTTCCTGGGGAACTTATGAGCTAGCACACAGTCGTCCCATTCCCTCTCAATAACAACATCCCAGTGATCACAGGCTCTCAGGTGACCTCTCTGAGGCACCAACTCACTGATCTCAGCTGCTTTTGCCTCAGTGAGCTCAGCTTTGTGTAGTTGTACCTTACTGACCTCTCTCTGAAGACACATGCGTGATCTCATCTTGACTCCAAAGTAGCACTGCCTCCGCTCCTCTTCAGTAATAAATCATTGAGCTCAGCTTTTCTCTTAAGCAACCTCTGTGATCTCTGCTCTTAGGTAACACACGAGTCCTTTGTCCGTAATTTTCATTCCTCTGGAGCTTCACTTTAGCGAGCTCAGCTTTTTGAAGGGTCACCTCAGCAATCCCAGTTCTCTTGGATTTTCCCTTCAGTTATTTAAACTCAGCACACTAGTGATGTCAGTTCCTCTCAGAAGCAACACCACAGTGACCTCATTTTCTTCCTTCACTGACACTTCTAATCTCGGCTGTCCTCCAAAGTCACGCTCAGTACCCTTGTCTTCTGTGAGGTAAAACTCCTTTCTCAGCACATCGGCAATTGGTTCTCTCTGAAGTTAATACCTCTGTTATCATCTCATCAGTGTCTGCACAGAGAGGGTGAAATAAGCTTTTGTCTCCATCAGTGTATCACTGAGACTTGCAGATCAACACCCTAGAGCAGTGGTGGTGAACCTATGACACGTGCCATAGCAGGCTGTTTGTATCATTGAAAGCTCGATCACTGCCCTACAAAGAGGAGAGGAGAGGGGAGAGGAAGGCAGGAGGGAGGAAGAGAGAACCTTTCTTCAGTCACTTATTTTTAGGTTCTGAAAAGGCTTGAATTCGATCCAATACTTGTTTCCTTTGCAGCTGGCTACTAGAAATGTCTCTGGCGTAAATTGAGCTGTAAGAACTGTATCTTTAAAACTAAGCAAATAATTTTGAGCAAATACAAATGGGGGGCAGGTTGAGGCAGGGTTTTGCCATGCAATTCAGGCTGGCCTTGAACTCACTATGTAGCCCAGGCTGGCTTTGAACTCAAAGCTATCCTCCTGCCTCAGCCTCTAGAGTGCTGGGATTATAGGTGTGCACCAGCACACCGGGAAGAAGTTTTTAATTATGAGTAAACTAGATTCATCAGAGTATAAAGCAATGGATACCAGACTCTTGAACCAAGAGTGAAAAACACAAGAAAAATCCATTCAAGTAGAGCAGACTCTTTTTTTGTTTTGTTTGAGACAGGGTCTCACCATGTAGATCAGGCTGGCCTCAAATTTACAGTGATCCTTTTGCCTCATCCTCCTGAGTGCTGGGATTACAGGTGTGCGCCACCATACCTGGCTCAAGACAGCAGACTCTTAAGCTGGGTTTAAGAATTTTATGTTTTAAAAGTATCCACCAAGGGGCTGGGGATTTAGCTCAGCGGCAAAAGCGCCTGCCTGGCATGCACAAGGTTGTGAGTTCGGTTCCCGGTACTGGAGAAAAACCAAAAACAAAACAAAACAAAAAAAAGTATCCACCAAAGAATTATCTCTAGTATTTTCTTGGAAATACCATAGGGCATGAAGAGGAACCACTTTGTGTGAGTTCTTGTCCTAGGCCGGCTGGGATCTGCAGGCCCTAGAGATTTCACGATCTCTGAAGTGCAGACTCTATAGGTCATAAGGACAGATTTTCAGGAAAATACCCATTTTTAAGTTGAGTTTTTATTGACGTGTCAGGACATTCCTTCTCATCTTGAATAAAGTTAAAGCACCAGATAGTGGGTTTTCTAAATTTATGACACTTCTCACTAATGTATCTTTAAACTTTTTTTTTTTTTAAATACAAAACAGGTATTTCCATGCACTTAGAATTTTCAGCTATTTCACATGGTGATACTTGACAATATTTTTTAAAATATCACTTTATCCACACAGCACTTTAGTGTTTTTACAGAGTACTGAAAATAGTACAACATTCTAAGTTTAAGTACAATGACTAGGATGGTCAATTGTATTTAGGAGAGGCAGGCAGGTTCTAAGGAAAAAAAATTTATTTGGAATGTAAATTTTATTGAGACAACAGTCCTTATACTTCCCTTAGTTACTTCAAATAAACTAATGTTACAGAAACAAAGAATTATGGCTATCTTTATCAATATTCGCTACAAATGTACCATTACCCTCCTATGTAACTTCAAGATGTTGAGGAAGATAAACGGACCTTCTCAGAAGCTTTTCCCACAGGAACACGCCCTGTGCCTTTCTTCGGGAGCATGTAATACTGGATCACTCAGCGTGTCTTGTAGAGGTAACAAGCTCCCTGGCAAGAAGGCTGCCGTGCCCCTTGTAGTTTCTATTCACAGCTTCCTGTGCACCTTCTGGTGCTGGATCAGGTGCCCGTGCTGGTTGAAGGCTCGCCCACACTCGCCACACTCGTAGGGCTTCTCCCCGGTGTGGATGCGCTGGTGCTGGATGAGCACCGAGTACTGGCTGAAGGCCTTGCCGCAGCTGTTGCACTCGTAAGGCTTCTCGCCTGTGTGAGTCCTCAGGTGCACAATCAGAGTTGCCTTCAGGCTAAAGGCCTTCCCACATTCCGTGCACTGGAAGGGCTTCTCACCCGTGTGAATTCTCTCGTGTTGGATCAGGGAGCGGCGTGCACTGAAGGCGTGCCCACACTCGTTGCACACGTAGGGTTTCTCCCCAGTGTGGACCCTCTGATGCTGGATCAGGTGTGAGTGCTGCACGAAAGCCTTGCCACACTCGTAGCACGCGTAGGGCTTCTCCTCTGTGTGGATGCGCTCGTGGTTCATCAGCGTGGAGCGGTGGCTGAAGGTCTTCCCACACTCGCTGCACTCGTAGGGCTTCTCCCCGGTGTGCACGTTGTGGTGCTGGATGAGCACCGAGCGGTCGCTGAAGGCTTTGCCGCACTCGCTGCACGTGTAGGGCTTCTCCCCGGTGTGGCTCCGCTGGTGCTGCAGCAGAGTCCGCTTCACGCTGAAGGTCTTCCCGCACTCACCACACTGGTGGGGCTTCTCCCCCGTGTGCACCCTCTGGTGGCTCCGCAGGACGGTGCTGTGGTTGAAGGCCTTCCCACACAAGGGGCACACATAGGGCCTCTCTCCCGTATGGATGCGCTGGTGCTGAATGAGGTGTGAGAGCTGAGTAAAGGCTTTCCGACACTCCAGGCACTCGTGAGGCTTCTCCCCCGTGTGGATCTTGTGGTGCTGAGCGAGGTCGGAGCTCACTCGGAAGGCTTTCCCACACTCGTTACACTCGTAGGGCTTCTCCCCTGTGTGGATTCTCCTGTGTTTGCTGAGGACCGAGCTTTGGCTGAAGGCTTTCCCACACACATTACATACATAGGGTTTCTCACCAGTGTGGATTCGTTGATGCTGAAGGAGATGGGAGCTCCGTCCAAAGCACTTCCCACACTCGATGCATATGAAGGGTCTGTCCCCATTAGGAACCGCCTGGTGCTGAGTGAGCGGCTCCTTTCCCTTCGAGCCCTGAGCCTCATGGTGGGAGGCAGGGCTTGGGCTCAGGCAAAGGCTCTGTTTGGTGTCATGTTTTTGATCAATCCCCCCTAAAGGTGTCTTCCCCAGAGTCGGTGTTACCTCTTCTGAAACTAAGGGCTTTGGGCTCAAGTCTGTGTTTAGGTTCTCCTCCTTGGTTTTGCATTCTGAAACAACAAATCCAAAATGAAAATGTTAACACGACTCCAAACCGTGGAGTACAGCCTTGAAGCCGGCCCTGCCAAGTAAGGGGAGGGATCAGACACAGAATTTCCACACAGGATACACCAAGACCTGAGAGATGCCATCCTGGGGCCAACGGAATTGAACATGGAGAATGATGCTATGACCTCTTTGTGAAAGTAACTTCATGTGGAGCCTGCACTGGGGGCAGGTAAAACTGCAGACACACAGGAATGAGGTGGGAATATGCTGCCAACTTCAGGCTGGAGAGAGGTCTGCAGGGGCACGGTGTGACAGCAAAGACCAGGGTGGAGAAAATTCTGGAATCAAGGCACAGATTCTATGGACTGTGTAGGTGGGATTGAGGTGCGCTGAAGACACCACACTCACGAGGACTTTCTGTGAAGGCAGCTGCTGTGTTAGGAGCACAGACACCGCGGCTCCTCTCCATGATCTCCCTCCTTTGGAGGGTTGAGGCTGGAGCGGGGGAGGGTAGACACTTGGCTGGCCCCTTCTCTATAGAACAGAAGTTGGAAACCACCAGGGAGGAAAATAAACTTGTCATCCCGGAGGCACTGCTAAGTCACTGTAGCTGGAAGGAAAGAAAAACACACTCCACCTCTGCTGGAGGGTCAGGAAACAATCATGGACTCGCTCAGGGTCTGCCACAGCCAAGGAAAGAGCAGGTGCACAGAGGAGGTTTCGGTCCTGACACCCACTGACACAGCACGTGCCGAGTGAAGACGGGCCAGAACAGCGCAGCTCTACTTGCTTCCCACTTCCTGAGGCCAGCAAGCCCCAGGCGACATTCAACAGCAGTCTAAGGGGACGTGGATAGGGTAGAAACACGAGACCTTCTCAGCTCACAGACACCATGGAAGACAGAGTCCTAGCCTAAGCATAGGAAATTGCTAGACAAACTGGACTCTCATCTTTGGCAATGCACACAAAGTAATTACAACAAAATCCAAACCCAGCCAGCTCTGGACTGGAGTGGCTCATGTTCACATAACTGCCCAGCATGAGAGGCTACATTTCCAGATGCACAAGCTATTTACTATTTGCCTCATCTGTAAATCCTATAATGATGGATGGTATTCAATTGAAAAATGATGAGATACTCAAAGAGTTTTCTTTTTCCTTTGAAAAAGGAGAACAAAAAATAACAGTCAAACAGTAAATCAATTAAAGGACCAGACTTGTCCTGTATGTTGGTACAACATGTATTATCAGATGTGGAATTTCAGCCCAGAGATGAAAAACTGTAAGGAAGAGTCCATCTGAAATGCTAGACATAAAAACAAGACAAAAGCAGTGACAAGGAAAAAGAATGCCTTTGACTCGTTCATCAGTAGATCCAACTCAGCTGAGGAATCATAAGAACAGTAACAGAAATTACCCGAACGGGCTGGGATAGAGCACTTGCCTAACATGTGTGAGGCCCAGGGTTCAATCCCCAGCACTGCAAAACAAAACAAAACAAAACAAAACAGAACAGAACAAAACAAAACAACAAAACCAACAAACTCTGAGAACCTCGTAAGACATTTAAAGAAATATCATCTAAATACATTATATTCAAATTGTTAAAAATGAAGGAAAAAATCTTAGTGGGAACTAGAGGGAAAAGGGCATAGAATATGTAGAGGAGCAGCCAGGAATACAGCTTAGCGGCACAGTGCCTGCCTGGCAGGCACAAAGTCCTGAGTTCGATTCCTGGTACCAAAAAAAAAAAAAAAAAAGAAAGAAATGTAGAGAAGCAAGTGTAACAGTTAGTGCAGACATGACATGGGAAACCGTCAAGTCAGAAAACAACACCCCAAGAATGCTAACAGGAAAGCCCATTTACAACTCCATGCCTAGTGAGAGTCTTATTTATTTCTTTATTTGTTTGTTTTTGCTTTTTTTTTCTGGTCCCGGGAATCGAACTCACGACCTTGTGCTTTGCCAGGCAGGCGTTGTGCTGCTGAGCTAAACCCCCAGCCCTATAGTGAGAGTCTTTTAAAGAAAGATAAATAATAAAAACAACAGGGAGAATCCACAACCATCAAATTCACGTTACAAAAAATGTTAAAGAGTTCTTCAGACAGAGATACATGATACGTGGCAGAAATCGGGATTTACACAAAGAAATGAAGATCTTTAAGAATGGTAAATGGTAGTTACTTTATTTATTTATTTATTTATTTAGTCTTTTTTTGAGACAGGGTCTCACTGTGAGCTCAGGCTGGCCTTGAGCTCACTTTGTAGCCCAGGCTGGTCTTGAACTCGCAACAATCCTCCTGCCTCAGCCTCCTGAGTGCTGGGATTACAGGCATGCGCCACCACGCCCGGCTGGTAGTCACTTTAAATATTGACAAATATAAGACTTTTAAAAAAATGTTCTAAATCACTCTAAAATGTACATGTTAGAGGCACAACCAGAAACACAGCATGGTTTTATAGCACAGGTGACAGCAAAACACGGCAGTGTCGCAGAATTAGGGGTGAATAGGGAAGGTGTTATGTACTGAATATTTGTGTTTTCCCCAAATTCATGTTGATTGACAGTATCTGGAGGTGTGGCCTCTGGGGATAGCTGGGTTTGGATGAGGTTAGGAGGGTGGAGCCATCACTACAGGATTAGTTCCCTTAGAAGAGATACAAGAGAGCTTGCTGTCTCCCTCCATGTGCACAAAAAGGTCACACAGTAAGAAATTGCTGTCTGCTAGCCAGCAAGGGAACTCTCAGCAGATGACTGAACTATTAGCACTTTGATCTGAACTTCCCATCCTCCAAAAGGTGAGAAACCTCCAGTGTTTAAGCTATACAATCTATGGCAGGGGTGGTGAACCTGCGGCATGTGTGCCACACAGGATGTTTGTATTATTGAAAGCTCTAAAAGGTTCGCCATCACTGCTCTAAGGTATTTTGTTATGATTCTTTTTTTTTTTTTTTTTTTTTTTTGGTCTTTTTGAGACAGGGTCTTGCTATGTAGTCCAAGCTGGTCTTGAGCTCACTTTGTAGTCCCGGCTGGTCTTGAACTCACAACAATCCTCCTGCCTCAGCCTCCCCAGTGCTGGGATTACAGGGGTGCGCCACCACACCTGGCTTTTGTTACAAGATTCTTAAGTGTGTATATTGAATGGTAAATATTGTTTGTTTGAAAGGAGACTGTGCCTTAAAATTTATGGTTGTCCCTTGGTATGT